TCGTGGTGCACAATCAACAAACAACAACAACGACGACATCGTCGTCAACACGCCCGTCAACAACAACAAGTGTGTGTGTGCGCAGACTTAAAATGATGAATACGTAATAGGCGACGTTTCGGGCTATGGCCCTTCATCATGTTCGGGGCTCCGTGGTGGCGAGACGTCAACTCCCTCGCCTGCTATGACGGTGGCCGTGGGTTCGATACCAACTCTGACGCCTGCTGTGTGTGTGCAGTCTGCCTGTCTCTCTCTCTCTCTGTCCAGTGATCAGGGGCCTGCTCAAGGCGCGGCTCCGGCTGGAGTACGCGTACCACACACATGTCGGTGATGAGTACGTCTTCTTCGAACGCTGGGGAGCCGGACAAGCCCCTCTCTGTACCAGCGTGGACGGCACCCTCGTGGTGTTCACCTTCTGAAGCGCTCGCTCGTCACCGTGGCGTGCGCGATGACCACCACCACCACCACGTGACTTTTCTTTCGTGTTGTGCGCGGTGCTTTTAGCGCCACGGCGCGTGGATTTGTAGCGTTTGTTTATTTGTTTGTTTGCTGGTGACTTTGTGTATTTCATCTCGGAATCGCCTCCAGTGCTGTTGCTGCTGGCGGCAATAAAAGTTTGTTTAAAAGTCAAAAGTCTCTCTCTGTCTTTCCCCGTGGTCGCGTGGATTTTTCTCCAGGTCCTGCGGTTTCGTGTCCCTTCATTTAAAATCAACATCACCACGCGCTTGAGAGGATTTGTCTGCGGCTATAAATGTCCACGTGATGATGATGATGATGATAATCAGCCGCTTCGCTGAGCTCTCACTTCTGAAAAAGAGCGACAGAGCCCGGTGGGGCCTCACCCGGTAAAATAACTTTCTAAAAAAAGTTTAAGTTTATCATAGCACGGGATCTACGTGCCATGATGAAGGGTCATTGCCCGAAACGCCATTTATTATATATGTAGTTGTCCTTTTAAGGCCACAGTGTTGTTATTGATTAGTGTGTTGAGGTTTTTTAATTATGTTTTATTTTTATTATTTCCCTTCTACGTGACTTTACCGAAAGAAACAAGAATATGAATCCCTGCAGTCACGAAAGCTTTAAATCGAAATGTGTTGAGGTTGTTGTTTGTTTACCACCACTGCCAAAGCAGCAGCAGCAACAGCATCTACAATTCATTCCTTTGGCCATGATGCACAGCGACGGTTGAATGTCCGCGTGTAGTCGCAGAGTGAAGGCGGTCTTGGGTTTTAGCCACGGCGTGAATGAACAAAAACTAGAAATCGGTTTCCTACTTAACCAGGCAAGGTAACCGCTGAGCTGCGGAGATCTTTCTCAGCAGCGACCTTGGCCTATCGCAAATGATAGCTCACTAAGGCACTACCACTAGAGTGCCTTGCACTCTAGTGGTAGTGCCTTACGCCAACAATCCCTAATCGGAGCCAGCCTATAGCAGCATCCCAAATGATAGCTCAACTAATGAGGATGTATAGCAGCCAAATACGCTAAACGGTGATGTTGATTCTACATGTGGAGGGAAAAATACTGGAGGACCGGAGAATCAACGTGAGCACGGGGAGAGAGAGACACGCACAGTCCAAATAGACAGGCGGCGTCACGGTCGGGATCGAACCCACGACCTCCTGTACACCAGGCGAGGTAGTCAACATCTCCTAGCCACCGTGGCGCCCTCATAAGTATAGACATCACGAACTCTTCATTAAAAAATACTTTACAGGGAGGAGGGTAAGGGGGGGGGAGTGATGGCACAGTGGTTAGCCCTGCACTGCCCTACGAATCCTGGCAAAGACCAAATATCCGAACCGGTGCTGGCCCTCCGCTAGGCCGACTCAGCCTTAAAAACGAGCAGCTGATGCGGTGTGCATTTAAGCATCAGCACATGTTAGCCACTTGGCTAACAGCACTTGCCCTAACAATCTGTTGAGGCTATACGGGGGATCTTTGTCTTTATTTGTTCCGCCACTGTGCCCTCCTCCCCCTCCTCTGGGGAGTTGTTTGTTGTTGTTTGTTAGTTGCTGTTATGTGTTGTTGTTTGCTGTTGTTGTTTGCTGTTGTTGGTCATTGTCTGTTGCTGATGTTGTGTGTTAGTTGTTGTCTGCTGTTTATTGTTGTTGTTGTTTGCTGTTGTATGTTGTCTGTTTGATATTTGCTGTTTGTTGTTGTTTGCAGTTGTTGTTATTTGCTGCTGTTTGTTGTCTGTTGTTGTTTGTTGTTGTTGTTGCTGTTCGCCCTCTGGCGAGTCTCGCCTTGAGCGTGCGGTAGGCGTTGGTGATGGATGAGATCTTGTGGTTGCTGTGGGCGCCCCCCAGCTTGCACAGGTGGCACAGGGGCCGGCGGCACACCTCGCAGTACACCGTCACCCGCTCCGCCTCGTGCTCCGGGCACAGCAGCACCTGCAGCGCAAGCAGCACGTGGGGTGTCGGCAAACAAACAACAACGACAGCCGTGGTGGTGAATACTGGACTTCCATGGTGAACTGGACAACCATGGTGAACTGGACTCCCATGGTGAACTAGACTCCCATGGTGAACTGGACTCCCATGGTGAACTGGACTCCCACGGTGAACTGGACTTCCATGGTGAACTGAACTACCATGGTGAACTGGACTCCCATGGTGAACTAGACTCCCATGGTGAACTGGACTCCCATGGTGAACTGGACTCCCACGGTGAACTGGACTTCCATGGTGAACTGAACTACCATGGTGAACTGGACTCCCATGGTGAACTGGACTCCCATGGTGAACTGGACTCCCACGGTGAACTGGACTCTCATGGTGAACTGAACTCCCATGGTGAACTGGACTCCCACGGTAAACTGGACTCCCATGGTGAACTGAACTCCCATGGTGAACTGGACTCTCATGGTGAACTGGCCTCCCACGGTGAACTGGACTTCCATGGTGAACTGGACTCCCATGATGAACTGGACTTCCATGGTGAACTGGACTCCCATGGTGAACTGGACTCCCGTGGTGAACTGGACTCCCGTGGTGAACTGGACTCCCATGGTGAACTGGACTCCCATGGTGAACTGGACTCCCGTGGTGAACTGGACTCCCGTGGTGAACTGGACTCCCATGGTGAACTGGACTCCCATGATGAACTGGACTTCCATGGTGAACTGGACTCCCATGATGAACTGGAATTCCATGGTGAACTGGACTCCCATGGTGAACTGGACTCCCATGGTGAACTGGACTCCCGTGGTGAACTGGACTCCCGTGGTGAACTGGACTCCCATGGTGAACTGGACTCCCATGGTGAACTGGACTCCCATGGTGAACTGAACTCCCATGGTGAACTGAACTCCCATGATGAACTGGACTCCCATGATGAACTGGACTCCCATGGTGAACTGGACTTCCATGGTGAACTGAACTCCCATGGTGAACTGAACTCCCATGGTGAACTGAACTCCCATGGTGAACTGGACTCCCATGATGAACTGGACTTCCATGGTGAACTGGACTCCCATGGTGAACTGGACTCCCATGGTGAACTGGACTCCCGTGGTGAACTGGACTCCCATGGTGAACTGAACTCCCATGGTGAACTGGACTCCCATGGTGAACTGGACTCCCATGGTGAACTGCACTCCCATGATGAACTGGACTCCCGTGGTGAACTGAACTCCCATGGTGAACTGGACTCCCATGGTGAACTGGACTCCCATGGTAAACTGGACTCCCATGATGAACTGGACTCCCATGGTGAACTGGTCTTCCATGGTGAACTGGACTCCCATGGTGAACTGGACTCCCATGGTGAACTGGACTCCTATGATGAACTGGACTCCCATGGTAAACTGGACTCCCATGGTGAACTGGACTCCCATGGTGAACTGGACTTCCATGGTAAACTGGACTCCCATGGTGAACTGGACTTCCATGGTGAACTGGACTCCCATGGTGAACTGGACTCCCATGGTGAACTGGACTTCCACGGTAAACTGGACTTCCATGGTGAACTGGACTCCCATGGTGAACTGGACTTCCATGGTGAACTGGACTTCCATGGTGAACTGGACTTCCATGGTGAACTGGACTTCCATGGTGAACTGGACTCCCATGGTGAACTGGACTCCCATGGTAAACTGGACTCCCATGGTAAACTGGACTTCCATGGTGAACTGAACTCCCATGGTGAACCGGACTCCCATGGTGAACTGGACTCACATGGTAAACTGGACTCCCATGGTAAACTGGACTTCCATGGTGAACTGGACTTCCATGGTGAACTGAACTCCCATGGTAAACTGGACTTCCATGGTGAACTGGACTCCCATGGTAAACTGGACTTCCATGGTGAACTGGACTCCCATGGTGAACTGGACTCCCATGGTGAACTGAACTCCCATGGTAAACTGGACTTCCATGGTGAACTGAACTCCCATGGTGAACTGGACTTCCATGGTGAACTGGATACCCATGGTAAACTGGACTTCCATGGTGAACTGAACTCCCATGGTGAACTGGACTTCCATGGTAAACTGGACTTCCATGGTGAACTGGACTTCCATGGTGAACTGGACTTCCATGGTGAACTGAACTCCCATGGTAAACTGGACTTCCATGGTGAACTGAACTCCCATGGTAAACTGGACTTCCATGGTGAACTGGACTCCCATGGTGAACTGGACTCCCATGGTAAACTGGACTTCCATGGTGAACTGGACTCCCATGGTAAACTGGACTTCCATGGTGAACTGGACTCCCATGGTGAACTAGACTATCATGGTGAACTGGACTCCCATGGTAAACTGGCAACCACAATAACACGTAGACCCATTTCCTTTTTAAATCCTTTATATTAAGTTCGCGTGCTTGCTTGCTTGCTTAGGACCGTGCAAATCTTTCGGTCGTTTTTTAACCCACTTCCCGTGATCCAATCGAGCTGACATTTTCCACACAGACTCGTTGTGCCAGACAATTATTGTTCGTGAAAAAAAATTCCCAAAATGTTACACTTTTTAGTCAAAAAAAAATAATTTTACATATATTCAAATAGAACGCATTCATGGCTTTGGCTGAACGTCAGAGTGTAAGAGCCCAGAGCGTAACCCCTCCACAGGCCGTGGCGGAGTAGCGCAGTTGGTAGCGCCCTCGCTTCCCATGCCAAAGGTCGCGGGATCGATCCCCGCGTCCTCCACAGGTGAATATATTTTTTAATCCTTTATATTAAGTTCGCTGCCACGCATATAAAGGATTTATAGTGAAAAACTTTGTTTTTACGGGTTATACTTATTTTATTTCAAGAGCCGCCACCGCTGTCCTCAAAGAGCCACCGCGCTCAGAACTTCTGAACAGTTCTCTGCTTTATCTCTCTACCTGATGACGAGTGCTTGTGTTGCGATCGAAACGTCGTAATTCATTATTTTATTTTTCTACCGACGTGACTTTACCGAAAGAACCAAAGAGTATGCATTCCTGCAGTCACGAAAACTTCCAATCAAGAAAGAATCACCCATTTGATCCCACGTCCCGAATGTCGGAATCACCCATCTCGTGCCAAATAAAGAAGAAAAAAAAATCAATCTAGACCTCCACCCCCTCCATCTTTCCCCAAATTCCACAATTTGCAATGTCATCTCAATTGGTCAGATTTAGCAACGCAGTCCTTTTAAAAAATATACAATATATATATATCACAAAACCCCGCACTCACAGGGGCCCAGTGGATCAAGACCAGTGCACTAAGTGGGCGAGTATATGACGGTACTGTGGTGAAGGTGGGGTGGTGAAGGTGGGGGGGGGGGGGGCACGAGAAGGTGAAACGGAACTAATGTATTTGCCGCTCGTCCCTCGTTTGTGCTGACCGAGGCCACGCCACGCCGCTTTCCCCTCCCGCTCGGCGTCGTCTCCCCCCCTCCCCCTCCTCCCCCCCCCCCTCCTCTTCCTCCCCCTCCCCCTCCTCTTCCTCCTCCCCCTCCTCCTCCTCCTCCTCCCCCTCCCCCTCTTCCTCCCCCTCCTCCTCCTCCTCCTCCTCCCCTTCCTCCTCCTCCCCCTCCCCCTCACCCTCCTCCCCCTCCCCCTCCTCCTCCCCCTCCTCCTCCCCCCCCCCTCCACCCCCTCCTCCTCCTCCTCCTCCACCCCCTCCCCCTCCTCCTCCCCCTCCTCCTCCCTCCCCCTCCTCCTCCCCCTCCTCCTCCTCCCCCTCCTCCTCCTCGGCTGCCGGCCCCAGGAACGCGCCGTGCCGTGAAGTTCATTTAGCGCCATCGTCATCAACGTCACAACCACCACAACCACCACCGCCAGCACCGTCATGATCATCACCGCTGCCAGCACCACCAGCGCCATTGTCATCACAATCAAAACCACCACCAGCACCACCACCAGCACCACCACTGCCAGCACCACCATCATCACCACCATCACCACCATCATCACCACCAGCACCACCTCCACCGCCATTGTCATCACAATCAAAACCACCACCATCACCACCACCAGCACCACCACCACCATCATCACCACCAGCACCACCACCACCGCCATTGTCATCACAATCAAAACCACCACCAGCACCACCATCATCACCACCACCACCACCATCATCACCACCAGCACCACCACCACCGCCATTGTCATCACAATCAAAACCATCACCACCACCATCACCACCACCACCACTGCCAGGCCTGGCCGTGAGGGTGAGGAGGAGGAGGCCTCAGAGGCTGCTAGCTGCACGAGCCAGGAGTCTCCAAACGGCGAGCGCGGAGCGATGTGACTGACGCCTTTAATTAATATTATTCTTTTTTTCTAGAGCACCTGTTCATCTGCCCTCCTGCCCACTTGTTCACCTACCCTTCTGCCCACCTGCCCACCCTGCCCACCTACCCACCTGCCCACTTGCCAGTCTCCCCACTTCCCCACCCCTTACCCACATGCCTGCCCGCACACCGCCCACCTACCCACCTGCCCACCTGCCCACCTACCCACCTGCCCACCTACCCACCTACCCACCTGCCCACCTACCCACCTGCCCACCTACCCACCTGCCTACCTGCCCACCTACCCACCTACCCACCTGCCCACCTGCCCACCTACCCATCTGCCCACCTGCCCACCTGCCCACCTGCCGACCTGCCCACCTGCCCACCTACCCATCTGCCCACCTACCCACCTACCCACTGCTCACCTGCCCACCTGCCCACCTGCCCACCTACCCACCTGCCCACCTATCCACCTGCCCACCTGCCCACCTCCCCACCCCTACCCACCTCCCCACCCCCTACCCACCTGCCCACCTACCCACCTCCTACCCACCTGTCCACCTGCCCACCTACCCACCTGCCCACCTGCCCACCTACCCACCTGCCCACCTGCCCACCTGCCCACCTACCCACCTGCCCACCTACCCACCTGCCCACCTGCCCACCTACCCACCTGCCCACCTACCCACCTGTCCACCTGCCCACCTACCCACCTACCCACCTGCCCACCTGCCCATTTGCCCACTTATCCACCTGCCCACCTACCCACCTGCCCACCTACCCACCCCCTACCCACCTCCCCACCCCCTACCCACCTGCCCACCCCCTACCACCTGTCCACCTGCCCACCTACCCACCTGCCCACCTGCCCACCAACCCACCTGCCCACCTGCCCACCTGCCCACCTGCCCACCTACCCACCTGCCCACCTGTCCACCTGCCCACCTGCCCACCTGCCCACCTGCCCACCTACCCACCTCCCCACCTCCTACCCATCTCCCTACCCCCTACCCACCTCCCCACCCCCTACCCACCTGCCCGCCCGCCGCCCACCTTGGGCCTGAAGCTGGTGGTGGGCGCCACGAACTCGTGCTGCGCGCGCGGCGTGCCCCACGGGTGCTGCAGCTTGAAGCACGCCTTGCAGAAGCTGCTCTTGCAGTCGAGGCAGCTCTTGGTGGCGGCGCGGGACGCCGCCGCCGCCCCCGCCGGGCGGCACGCCTGGCACGGGATGGCGCCCCCCCGCGCCACCCGGTGGCGCTCCACGACCCCCTCGAGCGCGAAGTTGCGGCAGAGCGAGGCGAGTCCTCGCTCGCCCAGCTCCACGTCGCGCTGGCACACGGGGCAGGGGAAGGCGGACGGGGGGCGCGGGCTCGGCGGGGGGGTGCGGCGGTGGCCGGGGTAGGTCGCGTAGCCTGGACACCCCCGGTGGGGTGGGGGGGGAGGTTAGGGGAGATTGTTGAGTCGAAAGCTTCTGGGCCGTCCATAAATGACGTCACGCGATTTTGGACGATTTTTTACCACTTGACCCCCCCCCCCCCCTACTTCGTCACACGGCGTCACAAAAAGTCAGACCCCCCTCTCCTCAAATATGACGTCACAAAGCTCTGCCCCCCCCCCCAAATAAAACATGCTTCAAATCGCTTTAAACTATTGTCATTGTAGTGCGTATTTAATGTGGCGTTGCATTCTGATATTGTAGGAGAAAACATTTCTTAAAAAGTCCGTTTAATTAAGTAGAACGTGTTGTCTATATTTATTAAAAGTTGCGCATTTTGATGTGACGTCACATTTCCCCCCCCCCCGTCACACATCGTCACAAATGTCTGATCCCCCCCCCCCTAGGTGCGTGACGTCATTTATGGACGGCCCCTTATGGAACCCAGCTGTCCGGGTCTGTGCCCGTGTCTGTGTGCCCACGTGTGCGTCCGCGTGTGTACTCGTGTGTGTGTGTGTATACTTGTGTGTTGTCGTGTGTGTGTGTATACTTGTGTGTGTGTGTACTCGTGTGTGTGTGTGTACTCGTGTGTGTGTGTACTTGTTTGTGTGTGTACTCGTGTGTGTGTACTCGTGTGTGTGTGTACTCGTGTGTGTGTGTGTGTACTCGTGTGTGTGTACTCGTGTGTGTGTGTGTACTCGTGTGTGTGTGTGTACTCGTGTGTGTGTACTCGTGTGTGTGTGTTGTCGTGTGTGTGTACTCGTGTGTGTGTGTACTCGTGTGTGTGTGTGTACTCGTGTGTGTACTCGTGTGTGTACTCGTGTGTGTGTGTACTCGTGTGTGTGTGTGTACTCGTGTGTGTACTCGTGTGTGTATGTACTCGTGTGTGTGTGTACTTGTTTGTGTGTGTACTCGTGTGTGTGTACTCGTGTGTGTGTGTACTCGTGTGTGTGTGTGTACTCGTGTGTGTGTACTCGTGTGTGTGTGTGTACTCGTGTGTGTGTGTGTACTCGTGTGTGTGTACTCGTGTGTGTGTGTTGTCGTGTGTGTGTACTCGTGTGTGTGTGTACTCGTGTGTGTGTGTACTCGTGTGTGTGTGTGTACTCGTGTGTGTACTCGTGTGTGTGTGTACTCGTGTGTGTGTGTGTACTCGTGTGTGTACTCGTGTGTGTGTGTACTCGTGTGTGTGTGTACTCGTGTGTGTGTGTACTCGCGCTGCGCTACGAGCCTGGCTACCGAGGGTGGAGCAAACGGCGCTCGTTTGAGCGGCCACGCGCACGCGGGCTGCTGTCAACGCGCCCAGGCGCGGCATTAACCGGGTCGGCCGCTCGAGTGGAAACCTCGAAGCCTCGTCCCCTCGTCACCCCCCTCCCCTCCGCCAGAGAGTTCTCACTTAGTTGACCTGGGCACTTCTATATTTGAAGCTTTCGTGACTGCAAGGATTCATACTCTTAGTTTTTTCGGTAAAGTCAAGTAGGTAAAAAAATGAAATTAAAATTAATAATATTAAATATTATTTTATTTTTTATAAATTTTTATTAAATTTTTTTACCTACGTGACTTTACCGAAAATGCTAAGAGTATGACCTGGGCACGTTTTGTGTTCACTTTGTTTACGATCGTTACGCGTGGACACGCTCGTAGCGGCCGGGGTGGACAGAGATCGAGTGAGCGCTGAGCGCGAGGTGTCGGCAAGGGTTACCTGACTTCCAGAAGGAGCGCTCCCTCGTCAGACGCACTGAGAAAGACGAGAGAGCAGTGAGTTGACGTTAGCAGCAGCAGCAGCAACAGCAACAACAGGGGCTCGGTGGGGCACTGAAACTAAAGCTATTCAACTAAAATGTTATTATTTCACCAGGTAAGGCCTCCACTGAGCTGCTATGCAGCTGTGTTTTTTCAGAAGCGAACCTGGCGATCACAAACGATAGCTCAACTATGTGGCTCATCATCATCATCACGTGCAAATATACAGCAGCCAAAACACTCTAAACGCGTGATGTTGATTCTCAATGTGGAGAGAAAATCCGCGCGACCACGGGGAGAGAGAGAGACGCAAACTCCAAATACACAGCAGCAGGCGTCAGGGTCGGGATCGAAGCCAAGACCTCCTGTATACCAGGCGAGGTAATTAACATCTCCTAGCCACCGTGATGATGATGATGATGAGAGACACGCAAACTCCAAATACACAGCAGCAGGCGTCAGGGTCGGGATCGAAGCCAAGACCTCCTGCATACCAGGCGAGGTAATTAACATCTCCTAGCCACCGTGATGATGATGAGAAAGGGAGAGACACTGCAAACTCCAAATATACATCAGACGTCAGGGTCGGGATCGAAGCCAGGACCTCCTGCATACCAGGCGAGGTAATTAACATCTCCTAGCCACCGTGATGATGATGATGATGAGAGACACGCAAACTCCAAATATACATCAGACGTCAGAGTGCGGATCGAAGCCACGACCTCCTGCACACCAGGCGAGGTAGTTACCATCTCGCCACCACGGCACCCGAGGTCAAACCTGATGCAGAGCCATTACCACGACAGAAGTTTAACGTGGTACATTAGACGGCGCGCTTTGACGAAGGGCTGTCATCCGTCACGTTGCCTCTTGCATATTCAGTTCTTAATTTCTTCCTAAACACCGGCCCTTCTTCGTAGCGGACAAGATTACCTGTTGAATTTTACCCGCTCCATTTTAAGGGCCGTTGAAATTATCGTCGAGAAAGGCGAGGCGCAGCGTCACGCATTTCATCATCATCACCGCCACCACAACGATCATCACGATCCACGGACACACAGCCCGCAGAAGGTGGTGTCAATTGTACATTTCGCCATTCGTTGTTTCCGCTTTCTCTGTCTTGTGGTGACAACATGCTCAAAGTAGTGGCCACATCTTACTGGCACCGATGTCTTACGTCGTCGTCGTCGTCATCGTCAAGCACATTCTCTGTTAGGTCTTCCTCTCTGTCCGGTTCCTTCCATTTCTCCGAACAACTGCTGTTATTGTCCAACCTACATAATACGTGTCCAAATAGTGGTAGTTTCCTTCTCACCACTGCCTGCATCATCAAGTTGTCTTCTACAGTACGTGCAATCATGTTTTCTTATTCCTACATAGCACGTGTTTTTATTTTACATTTAGATATTTTTTTGTATTTATTCTCGAGTGACGGCCGATTGCTTCAGCCCTGATCCTTCTCCACCGCCGACCCCCCCTCCCCCAAATTTGGGACTCCGATCTTTTTTTTTGTCGTTGAAAGAAGTGGCAGCAGTAGCAGCAGCAGAGACAGACGCGGTGATCACTGCACATCGCTAAATAAGACGGGTTTTTTGGGTTAGATCGCTTAAATATAAATGTTTAAATAGAAATGTCGTTTAACCCGTCAACACCACCCGATACAACCAATTGGTAGGGTTTGTCGCGTAAACAAAACAATGCCAATTCGTTACTAATACAGCACATCGGTGTGGTGGAAAGTAAAACCCACTACAACATTTACAATTCGAGTACGACATTTCACCAGTAATTACAACTCACATCATCAGGTGACAGCCAGTAATTACAACTAGCATCATCACGTGACAGCCAGTAATTACAACTAGCATCATCACGTGACAGACAGTAATTACAACTAGCATCATCACGTGACAGTCAGTAATTGCAACTAGCATCATCACGTGACAGCCAGTAATTACCACTAGCATCATCACGTGACAGCCAGTAATTACCACTAGCATCAATCATCACGTGACAGCCAGTAATTACCACTAGCATCATCACGTGACAGCCAGTAATTACCACTAGCATCATCACGTGACAGACAGTAATTACCACTAGCATCATCACGTGACAGTCAGTAATTACAACTAGCATCATCACGTGACAGCCAGTAATTACCACTAGCATCATCACGTGACAGCCAGTAATTACCACTAGCATCATCACGTGACAGCCAGTAATTACCACTAGCATCATCACGTGACAGCCAGTAATTACCACTAGCATCATCACGTGACAGTCAGTAATTACAACTAGCATCATCACGTGACAGTCAGTAATTACCACTAGCATCATCACGTGACAGCCAGTAATTACCACTAGCATCATCACGTGACAGTCAGTAATTACCACTAGCATCATCACGTGACAGCCAGTAATTACAACTAGCATCATCACGTGACAGTCAGTAATTGCAACTAGCATCATCACGTGACAGTCAGTAATTACCACTAGCATCAATCATCACGTGACAGCCAGAAATTACCACTAGCATCATCACGTGACAGCCAGTAATTACCACTAGCATCATCACGTGACAGACAGTAATTACCACTAGCATCATCACGTGACAGTCAGTAATTACAACTAGCATCATCACGTGACAGCCAGTAATTACCACTAGCATCATCACGTGACAGCCAGTAATTACCACTAGCATCATCACGTGACAGCCAGTAATTACCACTAGCATCATCACGTGACAGCCAGTAATTACCACTAGCATCATCACGTGACAGTCAGTAATTACAACTAGCATCATCACGTGACAGTCAGTAATTACCACTAGCATCATCACGTGACAGCCAGTAATTACCACTAGCATCATCACGTGACAGTCAGTAATTACCACTAGCATCATCACGTGACAGCCAGTAATTACCACTAGCATCATCACGTGACAGTCAGTAATTACCACTAGCATCATCACGTGACAGTCAGTAATTACAACTAGCATCATCACGTGCCAGTCAGTAATTACCACTAGCATCATCACGTGACAGCCGGTAATTACCACTAGCATCATCACGTGACAGTCAGTAATTGCAACTAGCATCATCACGTGACAGCCAGTAATTACCACTAGCATCATCACGTGACAGCCAGTAATTACCACTAGCATCATCACGTGACAGTCAGTAATTACCACTAGCATCATCACGTGACAGCCAGTAATTACCACTAGCATCATCACGTGACAGTCAGTAATTACCACTAGCATCATCACCTGACAGCCAGTAATTACCACTAGCATCATCACGTGACAGTCAGTAATTACCACTAGCATCATCACGTGACAGCCAGTAATTACCACTAGCATCATCACGTGACAGTCAGTAATTACAACTAGCATCATCACGTGACAGCCAGTAATTACCACTAGCATCATCACGTGACAGCCAGTAATTACCACTAGCATCATCACGTGACAGTCAGTAATTACCACTAGCATCATCACGTGACAGCCAGTAATTACCACTAGCATCATCACGTGACAGTCAGTAATTACCACTAGCATCATCACCTGACAGCCAGTAATTACCACTAGCATCATCACGTGACAGTCAGTAATTACCACTAGCATCATCACGTGACAGCCAGTAATTACCACTAGCATCATCACGTGACAGTCAGTAATTACCACTAGCATCATCACATGACAGTCAGTAATTACCACTAGCATCATCACGTGACAGTCAGTAATTACCACTAGCATCATCACGTGACAGCCAGTAATTACCACTAGCATCATCACGTGACAGTCAGTAATTACCACTAGCATCATCACGTGACAGCCAGTAATTACAACTCGCATCATCACGTGACAGCCAGTAATTACCACTAGCATCATCACGTGACAGCCAGTAATTACCACTAGCATCATCACGTGACTGTTAGTAATTACCACTAGCATCATCACGTGACAGCCAGTAATTACCACTAGCATGATCACGTGACAGTCAGTAATTACCACTAGCATCATCACGTGACAGTCAGTAATTACCACTAGCATATTCAGGTGACAGACAGTAATTACAACTAGCATCATCACGTGACAGTCAGTAATTACCACTAGCATCATCAGGTGACAGTCAGTAATTACCACTAGCATCATCACGTGACAGTCAGTAATTACAACTAGCATCATCAGGCGACAGCCAGTAATTACCACTAGCATCATCACGTGACAGCCAGTAATTACCACTAGCATCATCACGTGACAGCCAGTAATTACCACTAGCATCATCACGTGACAGTCAGTAATTACCACTAGCATCATCACGTGACAGCCAGTAATTACCACTAGCATCATCACGTGACAGTCAGTAATTACCACTAGCATCATCACCTGACAGCCAGTAATTACCACTAGCATCATCACGTGACAGTCAGTAATTACCACTAGCATCATCACGTGACAGCCAGTAATTACCACTAGCATCATCACGTGACAGTCAGTAATTACAACTAGCATCATCACGTGACAGCCAGTAATTACCACTAGCATCATCACGTGACAGCCAGTAATTACCACTAGCATCATCACGTGACAGTCAGTAATTACCACTAGCATCATCACGTGACAGCCAGTAATTACCACTAGCATCATCACGTGACAGTCAGTAATTACCACTAGCATCATCACCTGACAGCCAGTAATTACCACTAGCATCATCACGTGACAGTCAGTAATTACCACTAGCATCATCACGTGACAGCCAGTAATTACCACTAGCATCATCACGTGACAGTCAGTAATTACCACTAGCATCATCACATGACAGTCAGTAATTACCACTAGCATCATCACGTGACAGTCAGTAATTACCACTAGCATCATCACGTGACAGCCAGTAATTACCACTAGCATCATCACGTGACAGTCAGTAATTACCACTAGCATCATCACGTGACAGCCAGTAATTACAACTCGCATCATCACGTGACAGCCAG